GGAAGGCTGAGACGGATGTCACGAGACAAATGGCTTGGTCATTGTCTTCGATCCATCCCCTCCGAGGTAACTGGTGTTGGCCTCTGTCGGCAGACATGCTACTGGGCTAGATGGGCCTTTGGTCTGACCCAGTACAGCCGTGCTTATGTTCTAAGCTCAGGGCTCAGGGTCGGGGGACTCACTGGACCAACTTGATTTTCATGCAAACCTGCTCCTGGGTACGCATGTGGCTTTTGGTGGCCTAGCTGGCAGCTATTCTGTGCCTAGTGCAGAAGTCGTGGACGTTGGAGGCCTCCCACCAAACCTGGATGAGGTCCATGATCTCCGCACTAGACCAGGCGAGCACCCACCTCTTGCGGCCCTGGGCAGGCTCCTGGGAGCTGCCAGCCCGGTCCTGGGAAGAGGTGGAGGGCTAGGTGGCAGCGGGTGGCTGGCTCATGCCGTGCCAGGTGCAGGGATTCCCTTTCAAGTGCAGATGTAAAAGGTCTTTGTAGCAGAATGCAGGTGGCTAAGTCATTTAGAGAGTGTCCTTTCTGGTTAAAGTGGCAAGAAACTGTTTTCTCTTTGTGATCTTGTCTGATATCTGTTTTGTGGGCATTAATCCTTTGGCGAAGTGTCTGAGATGTTTGTCCAATGTACATAGCAGACGGACACTTTCGGCACATGATAGCGTAGATTATATTTCTGGATGTGCAGGAATATGTGTTCTTGATCTTATAACTTACTTGGTTAGGTCCAATAATGGTATCAGCAGAATGAATATGTGGACAAAGCTGGCAACGGGGTTTGTTGCAAGGGAAGGTACCAGGGTTGGTATTAGTGTGGTATGTCCTGTGGTGGTTGGTAAGAATCTAACTTTGTAGTGTAGACATACCCTAGGAGACTATGGGTCTGTCTCCCAGAGCCTCTCAGCCTGTTCCAGTATAGGCTGTAATTTATTGATAATGTGTTGGACAGGTTTAAGTTGGGGGCTGTAGGTGATGACAAGTGGTGTTCTACTGTTGGTTTTCTTGAGTCTGTCTTGAAGTAGATGGTTTCTAGGTATTCGTCTGGCTCTTTCAATTTGTTTTTTTTATTTCTGGGTAGTTGAGGTTTATAAATGCTTGGTAGAGATCCTGAAGTTTCTGGTCTCTGTCAGTGGGATTAGAGCAGATGCGGTTGTATCGAATGGCTTGGCTATAGACGATGGATCGTATGGTGTGTTCTGGATGGGAGCTGGAAGCATGTAGGTAACTGTATGAGTCGGTGGGTTTTCTGTAGAGAGTGGTGTCTAATTTTCCATTGGTGATTTGTACTGTGGTGTCCAGGAAATGGATCTCTTGTGTAGAACGGTCCAGGCTGAGATTGATTGTGGGGTGTAGGTTGTTAAAATCTCTGTGGAATGTTTGTTTCAATTCAAATGTAAATTATTGTTTAGGAGGTGTTCTTGAACAAATGGACTCACAGACAGACAGACAGACATGCACATTTTTAAAATATATAGATTTGAATATGGGTTGATATACTTAAACAGGGAGGCTTTTGCAATTTGGTACAGTTCCACTAATCTACAGATTCACTGGATTCTTTAGTCCTTTCAAAGCTAGATGAATTCAATCTGTCAAAGTTACCACTGTCACTATAGTAGACACATGCCTGAGCATAACAATGGTAAACTTGCAGGCTCAGCCAATTTTTATGTTCAAATAGGAAATAAGAGTCTTGATGACACAGGAAAAACAGTTCATACAGTGCGTCACACTGTGAATTACACATTTCAAGCAGCAATTGGACTTCTAACCTTAGAAGGAAAGTGAATGCATGCTATTTTTAATTTTTCAGGTTAACTGAATAGCCTATTACACTTACATCTATATACATTACCTTGTGCTGAAAGCCTGTTCTTTTAACTTCCACAGAAATCTATTTGTGTACGTGCACAGACTTTATTTCTACCCCATTTGGAGCTGTTCAGAAACAAGCTGAGGTGGCTAGTCTGCTTTATTTCTGCCCAGATATTTCAAATGGGAAAGTACAATGGGAAACAGAGGGGGCATATCCCGGATAGCAAATAATTTTGGGACAATGGCTCTAAACGTACATACGATGAATACTTAGAACTGGATCTGAACTATGCTTTTTTCCAAATTTTAACTTCAGAGCATTACATTTCTGTTAAAAATGACGTATTTTGGAAATTGAGCATTTTTCCACTATCTATTTTAAGGAATGACTAAACTGCTTTGAGAGAGATTATATGATCCCAAAGTTTAAGACTGAAGAAATGAAGCCGCTGAATAGTGGGAAAGCATTCAACAACCTTCACAAGAGATGAAAACTATATCCACATTAAGCCCAGTTCCCAGGAGGCCTTATGGAGGCCACCTACAGGAGCAGCATATACAAAGGTTTGCCCTGATTTTTTTTTTTAATACAACTGCCCCCTGAGTTGTGAACAGTCGAGTTTTGACCGTTCGCACTTATGACCAAAGCTTCCATGGAGCAGTCTTAAAGGCGGTCTCTGAGTTACAAACGCGACCTGCGCTTATGAACAGCGCAGTCGCTATGTAACTCAATGGGGTCCGAGTTATGAACGGATTGAGTTACAGCCAAGAGTTTGGTCCGTAACTCAGGGAGAGGCTGTAGTCCATTAACTCACTCAAACTTTGCACCAGTTTGGATGCTGCAAAGAAGGAATGACAAACCAGAAGAAACAAAGACTAAGATCATTATTATGAAGCCTACATTTTGTTCTGGAATTATCAGAATGCTGACAAGACGACTCAGATGTGATTTCAGGAGATTCCTAAACTTGCTTAGCTGCTATAGAAACTACTCTTGCAAACTGAGCAAAAATTAATTACTGTAGGTCTGTAGGACCTGCAAGGTCCTTAAACTGATTTCCAGATTTTAGAGAAATGAATAAGAACACTCCAGACTAAATGACAGCCATTAATATAACAAATAGTGACAATTGGCTATAGATTTCCATCAATTGTAGTAATATTATAAGAAAGCACAAGAGTTTTAATTTCGCTAATTTACCATAAGAAAAATATAATTTTCTCCAATAAGGGAGATGCACAAATACACATAAAAGGGTCCTCCCCCCCAAATACTGCATTTTGATCTATATTTCATTAAATGTTCATAATTAATTCCTGAAAAATATTTTTATAAATTACCATATGAGAGTCCATATATAAACAATACCAAGCTTGCAGTTTTAAATACGGCCCTGCAACATAAAATGAAGACACTCCGTTGCATGAATAAGAGATTGTTGAACACTGCAGATCTCTAAATGTTGTTTGATCTTGACCATGTCAGAAACTGAAAATCCTAGAAAGAGATGTACAGAATGAGGGCAAACCTTAACTCTGCTGTCTTTAGTTTTAATTGATCTTCAGTAATATCCTTAAACCATTTAAAATTAAGGTCATTTGGGGGATTTATGTTTTTAAAGAAAAAACTCAAGGTTATAAAACATGTATTAATCAAAACTGAAAAACATGTAAGTATGCTTTTAGTTTAAACAGGATAGAAAAGAGCAATGCTTTCCTAGACTACTGGGTAAATTAAACACTAGGAAACTTCCAGGGTCCTCTAAAAATAACCCGACAGGGAGTTACAAAACCCCTACACCAATCCTGACCAGAAGGTACAGCTGCACAGATGTTTGCAAAATGGTAAGTTCACTGGCCCTAGTAGTGTTGCCAGGTGTCCAGTTTTGAACCGGACAGTCTGGTATTTGAGAGTTCTATCCAGGGAAAAAATTAAGAAAATACCGGACACATAAAATGTCCAGTATTTTCTAATTAGGTAAGTTTTATTATTATTATTATTAGGGATATCAGTATGTAGTTGCGAACTGCCTGGCTGGTAGACACGCTCATGCTGCGTGAGTGTGACTACTAGCCAGGCAGTATGCAACTACGCTGGGTCTGGTATTTGAGAGTTCTATCCAGGGAAAAAATTAAGAAAATACCGGACACATAAAATGTCCAGTATTTTCTAATTAGGTAAGTTTTATTATTATTATTATTAGGGATATCAGTATGTAGTTGCGAACTGCCTGGCTGGTAGACACGCTCATGCTGCGTGAGTGTGACTACTAGCCAGGCAGTATGCAACTACGCTGG